GCTTATACGTGATTGTATCAATCTCAATCTTATATTGCATAAATTTAGTGGTCAAATTTATATTTATCCATACCAGGCCAACTTTTACCCACAATATCTTCTCCCTCCGTGTTCTTAATAAATATACCTCTTTTTACTCCTTCTTCATATGCCATATATTTGGCTTCAATTTTTATAGCTGGATCAACAATAACGACGTAATGTTGGTTGTTTTCATGCAATTTCTTAGTAAATTTTGCGACTTCGTTTCGCGGATAATTGGTAGGGTGCCAAGTAAAATCTTTAAATCCATCCATGTAATCTAGATCTGTCCATATGGTTTCCAGTGGGATTTTGTTTCTCCTAAAATTTTCCACTACATTGGAAAGCACGGTTAACTGATTGTTTTAAGTTTAGAAAATTGTCAGTTCATTAAAAAAAAACAGTTTATAAGAAATTTAAATTTCATCAAAAAACTATAGAAATAACATCATACATTATTGTATCCCCAACGAGATTGATGATAACCCAAAGCCCAATATGGTGGAAGAGCGGGCCTTCCTACAACCTAATAAAGGATCAGTAAATATACCGTTTATTATAAAACGCCATTGTTAGGTATAATTCACCTTCGTATATTGAGCAATCACATCTTCGGGTGTCGGTCCAAGAAAGAAGTAAAAATCGAACACACCACCAATAACTAGGAAATCATGTGAATTGATTTAATCATCAATCGGTAAATAGGGATACCTTTCACTAATGATAAAGCATTACCTTTCCAATTTAGTTTCAACGGGGTAATAGACACATCCATACCATTGGAGTTTCGTAGAAACTAAAATATAACATCAATTGATGTGTTGAGATTGATCACAAGGATCATCATGTTCATAAATATACACTCACCACTCCATGAGCGGTACCATTTCGTATTTCAATATAAAATGGATGAACACCGTACACTAAAAAAGAAATTGTGTGAATCGAATAAATCGTGTAATAAGTAGCATATTAAGAATCATACCATTTTCGGCGAAAGGTGTTGCCGCATCCCTACTCTATTATACAATGAATATACATAGATGATGAAAGATGATACGAGCAATCCAAGATGCTAAAAAAAGAAAGAATTACCCAGAGAGTTTGGAAAGTACTTCGTGGATTTCTTCTGAGTGTTTGAACGATCTCGCCAAGACCATATATATATGGATCAGGAGGCAACTAATAAAAAAAAGAGAATGCGCAAATTAAATATTAACATATATTGACTTCAATTCCAAACATAAATTCATTATTAACCTGAAATGAAAGTTCCATGTATTGCTCTTCGAATGTAAGGGAATCCATTCCTGGCACATTTGTGTTTATGATTTGTTCTCCTGTCGAACGACGTGTTACAGAAAACGTGAATGGGTTTTCCTTGTAGGAAAATAAGTAAAGAGGATCACTATCTATCTGTTCCGAAGGTGGAATTGGCACTATGTCTTCTGGTATCTCATATCTTGACCTCTCAGGATCGAAAATTTTCACGTGCAATCGATCGATAGTTTGATACTAAAAATATCTATTATTAAAGCATGTTCATGCGTGGCTAAACATCAATTTTAACATCATTATACCTCGACAAGAAATTTTAGCAATTTCGGATCTGATCCATAATTATTACATCCATCGTCGATCAATTTTAAGTCCACAATTAAACGTCTATCGTTTTTCCATGATCCAACAACCTTATATCCACTACATGGCACTTTCCTAAAATAACAATAATTTGCACCAACAACGTCATCCCTTGGATTCCAACAGCAATTTTTCTCTACACACTCTTTCTCTTGTATTCCAAAATAACCGCAATCTATTCTTGTTGCTGGATCTACGGCACAAGTATATTCTTTATCTTTTTTAAACATGCACCACTTTGCTCCCGGGTCTTCTGAAGGTTTCCAATAACAAAACCTTGCCTCACATTCTTCTTTGGTGATACCATAGTACCCACAATCAACAGAAGAATTAGAGCGTGAATAGGTTTCGTCCTCGAATTCCGACTTTGACAACACGAATGGTTGTATAAAAATGGAAAGTAAGAACAGGAATGATAACAGTATTACAAAAAAGAATTTTAAGGGACGCATTTTTTTGAAATGAAATTGTGCCTCGATTATCGACGCGCCTTGATAAAAGTTATTCACGTGTACAATAAACTCTGTTTTTATAAATAGTGGGCGATGTTGTCATGGGAGGACATAGGCAACACAGTGTTGATTTATAACACAAGATAAATATTTTACTAAATATAATTATTAATTGGGTTAAGTTTATTACAAAAGTCTAGATTCTCAGTTTTCTTATTAAATAATTATTAAGACTATAAAGAAACTTGATTAAAATTGATGTATTTTAATATTAGAAAAAATTATTATTTTTTATTATGGGTAAATAAACATTATTAAAATTATATATTTTAATTTTAATAACCTTTTGTTATTTATTTTTCTTAATAAAATTTTAAATTTATTGATATTTCATTAATATATAGTATTTAAAAAAAATTATTAAATTATTTTATTTTCATATTTCAAATAAACATATTATTTATTTATTGATTCTTTTGTTAATTCAAAAAACAAATATTTCAAAAGATTTTTATATCTTTATCTTTATAATAAAATCCATATATTTTTTTTAATAACAATAATCTCTTAATTAATAAAGTAAATAATTGTTTGTTTGTATAAATGTATCAATAAAGATCACATGCCTTGCACATATTCCACTTTAAAAAAACAATTGTTTGTTTGTTTTTATATCAAGTATCAAAATCTTGGTTTTAAAATATTATAATCAACTTATATTTAAATTATTATTTTATTATAATTTTATAATTCTAAAAATAAAAAATTTTTATATTAATTTTTAGTCTATTAAAACAAGTTTGTTATTATTGATTGTATTTAAACAAACTATTTAATTCCTAAATTTAAAATATATTTATAATAATATTAAATACTTTTTTTTTTTTTTTTTTTTTTTTAGTAGGTAAACATCATTTCTTTATTTGATTTGTATATGTCAAGGTATACATCATGAAAGAAACA